GCTTGGGTTCTAGAGAGAAAGGAGGGAGAGTTTTGGGGAATGCGCTTTTTAAATTCATGGAATGGCAGACTTCCTTGAGACTACCCACCTTCCTAGAAGCTGGCACCCGGGACACAGTTTGGAACCTACTCTCGGGGAGCCTGTGGCCCCCACAAAGCCCCAGGGAACAGACTGTCCGTGTGGGGGAGGCTAGAGCCAGAGCTGCAGCCTCTGCTGGGGGGCTGCGGGGGAGACTGAGTAACAGCCCCCCCACATCCTGATCCTCGGAACACGGTGCTTCCTTGTATGACAAAGGGCCTGTGCAGGTGTGATCAAGTTAGGGGTCTCGTGATGGGACGATTGGCCTGGGCCATCCAGGTGGATTCTGCAACATCATAACCCTCCCACAGAGCGAGGAAGGCGGGTCGGAGCGGGAGAGGCTTTGACGACAGAAGCGGAGGTTGGAGATCGGAGATCGGAGATCGGAGGGATGTTCTCTGAAGACGGAGGAGGAGCCGCCGGCCAGGTGGCTGCCAGAAGCTGACAAAGGCAAGGAACCAGACTCCTCCTTCCGCACCTCTGGGAGCACGCAGGCCCGGCACTCCTTGGCTCTGCCCAGAGAGGCCAGTTTCAGACCTCCGGCCTCCAGAACGTTAAGAGCATAAACGTGTGTTATTTCGTGCCACTAAGCTGGCGGCAACCTGTTGCAGCAGCTACAGAACGTCACACGGGGGCCGAGAGATGTGTCACCCGTTCCTCTCATGAACACCTGGGTGGGGACGTCGCAGCCTCTCCGTGAAGCTCGTTCCAGCCGAGGTCAGGATGCAGCACCGTGCAGACCAAGAGCGCAGGCCGTGGAGACAGCCCGAACCCGAGCCCTTCCACGGACTGGCCGCGGAAACCGAGGACGCCACGTCACCACTCTGAGCTTAGTTTCTTCATCTGCAAAATGAGGATAAAAATGCTAATTTGTGGCTTTGTTATTACGCCCAAGTTAAAGTTTCCCAAGCAGCTGGCACGCATTAGAGTCTCAGCAAACGCCAGTCCCTTTACTTGTCATCAACTCGATTCAGCGTTCCACAAATAATAGCAGCGCCTGCCATGCGCCCGCTGCAGACAGCCACTCAGCTGCTTCCTCTTCAAACTGGGAGCCGCCATCTCTTCACTTGGGCACTGACTCCTGTAACTCTCAGCACATACTTCTCCCGTCTCAGGGTCCAGATTTTGGCTATGTGACTCGAGGGCCCCAAACAGGGGAGGTCACGGGGCTCGACTCCTTTGGGAACCTGGAAGTGAGCCCCCCAGTCACAGTCGGGGAGAAGGAATACCCACTGGGCAGGATTCTCTTCGGGAACAGCAGTTACCCCAGGTAAGGAGGAGTGGGGCAGGAAGGGGCGGCCGGGACCCAGGGATGTCATGGAAAAGCAGAGGCCAGAGTGGAAGCCTCCCCTACCGGCCCCCAGCCCAAGAGGGCTCAACAAGCTTCAGGGAGTGTGAGAGGAATCAAAGTGCAAGGCAAGGAATATGGGCTTCAGAGCCAATAGACCCGAGTTCGAATTCCAGCTCTGCCACTTACACGCTTTCATTCGATGCATATTAACTGAGCACCTACTATGTGCTGGGAGCTGGAAATGCAGCCGTGAACATGAAAGACAAGTGCCTGCCGCTATACTAGTGGGGGTGACAGATGATAGAAATGTAAACAAGTGAGGCGATTTTAAATAAGTGAGGAAAACTAAAAAGAGGGGGCAGAGGAGAACTGGGAACTCTTAGGCCCAGGGAGGGCCGCTCTCGGCAAGGGGCTCTTGAGCTGGGCCTGATAACAAGAAGGGTACGGCCGCATGGTGAGCTGGTCCAAAGAGTTCTGGCGGATGAAAGAGCATGTGAAAAGGCCCTGGGGCAGGAATGAGCTTGTGTGTTCTAGAAGGCCAGGGTGGCTGGAACAGATTGAGTGAGAGAGAGCGAGCAAGGGGCTAGATCACAGAGGGCCTTGTAGGAAAAGACTGAGGCTCAGACAGCTGAAGGGATGTCCCCAGGGCCACACAGCTAACAAGAGGACACCAATGCAGGTCGTACTGGCTCCAGCCCCATGTTTACCCATAACACCAGCATCTAGTCTAATTCAACAGGCAGGGCTTCCTGCGGCTAAGCTCTGGCCCTATTTACCCTAGTGACTGTGCCTCAGTTTCTTCCCAATAAAACTGGAATGCCAATTCCTAAATTTCTCAAAGGTAAGGGGATATAATAAAGGCATTCCAGAACCCTGAATCCCTTCCCAGCAGAAGGAGAACCCAGACCCCTTTGCCAAACCCCCAGTCCCCCAGAGACCTCCCTGTTGCCCTCTCCGCCCAGTGACACCCCTCGAACCCTGCCTTGGCAGCAGCGAGAGCCGAGAGATGCACCAGGCCCTGCAGGACTTCCTCAGCGCCCAGCGGGTGCAGGCCCCCGTGAAACTCTACTCCGACTGGCTGTCCGTGGGCCACGTGGACGAGTTCCTGAGCTTCGTGCCGGCACCCGACAGGAAGGTGCAGTCTGGGGGCTGCCTGAAGGCGGCCAGGCCCCTTCCTGGGCTCCAAGCACAGCTCTGCTCTCTGCCTGGGGGCCCCGCCTTACATGCCTGGCTCTATTTTTCCCTCACCCCAAGAAGTGGGGTTGGAGGAGGAAGCCAGCCTGGGTCCAGGTCCCCACGCCTCCCGTCCTCAGTGGAGTCCCCCTCCTTGGGAGCCCCAGGGCAAAGCTGACCTTTGAGCCCAGTGTTTCTGCCTCCAGGGTTTCCGGCTGCTCCTGGCCAGCCCCAGGGCCTGCTACAAACTGTTCCAGGAGCAGCAGCAGGAGGGCCACGGGGACGCGCTGCTGTTCGAAGGACTCAGTAGTAAGCGGGCCTGCCGCGTCCTGTCTGGGCACCTTCCTCTGCCTCCATGTGGTCTCCTGTCGCCAGATGGAGCCATCCAGGCAACAGATACCTCCTGAGCGCGTCCTGTGCACCGGGCACCGTGCCAGGCGCGGGGGATACTCCGTGAACAGGGCAGATGGCTCGCTGCCCTCTGGGCTCACCGCTACGACACGGGGGCATTGGGGGTTTCTGAGTGGAGCTCAGGGAAGGCTTCCGGGGGGAGGCAAAGGCCAAGCGGGAGCATGCAGGGTGAGTGGGAGCCGGCCAGGAAAGCGGGCAGCGGGTGAGAGGAAGGGGGATGTTGCAGGCGGAGGGAACGGCGCACGCGAAGGCTCCAGGCTGGAGAAGAGCACGATGTGTTTGAGGCCCTGGGAAAGGGTCGGTCTGGCCGGAGCACAGAAGGAAATATCGCTCTTCCCGTAAAGTCCACAGACGTGGCCAGGCTCACGGGTGGAGAAGCCTCCACGGCTGAGTTTCCACCTAATCGTGTGGTGCGTTGTGTGGCCTGAAGGGCATGGGCAGACCAGTTTCTTCTTTCAGTGGGATCTCTTTGGAGATGAGAGAATTTAAGGGAGTGAGAACATTTTTAATGAGAACTTGCACCGCTACGATATTTTATTCAAGGTGTTTGCCCCACAGATGCTCACAAAAACCTGCATGTTAGGAATGATACTGCCCCCATTTGACAGATGGGAACACTGAGTCTCCGCAGCACCGGCTAAGAAGAGGGAAATCAACCTCTCAATTCACTTGCCTTTTTTTCCCCCCTTTTTCTCCATAACAGAAAAAAAACAGAAAATAAAGAACATTCTGTCAAACAAGACATTGAGAGAACATAACTCATATGTGCAGGTACTAGCCCTGGTGCCCAGGAGATGCCACGTCCTGGGCAGACCGGACACCCCCCTCCCAGTCCCCTTGCCCCGGGATTAGAGGCACAAGCCAGGAGCCCTCCACGGGCTGCATGCTGGGAACGCCTCGCTGCTTCCTGATGCTGCCCCTGGCCCTTCCCTCGGCCAGGGGCCTCGGTGCCACACTGTCCCCTAACCCAGCGGTCCCCCACCCACTGCTCCTCTCTCTCCGCCCAGAGCTGCATCGACTGGAACCGTGGGGTCCTGAAGCGGGAGCTGGGCCTGACCGAGCGCGACATCCTGGACATCCCGCAGCTCTTCAAACTCCGGGGGAACGTCAGAGAGTCCCGCAAGGCCGAGGCCTTTTTCCCAAACATGGTGAGGAGGTGGCTGCCGGCCCACCTTTGCAAACAGCCTTGACACCCCAGTCTGAGAGGTCACCGGGGATCTGGGGGCGCCCCAGGGGGCTCGCCTGGCCCTCCGCGGCTCACAGAGCACCTTCTGGTATCTCGCAACAACCCCGGAGTCAGAGACCCTGCCCACCTCCACTTTACGGATGAGACACAGGGAGGTGAGGTCTCTGGCACAAGAACACACAGCTGGCCAGAGGTGGGCTTCGCGTTAAGCACCTTGAAGGGAGTGCACGTTGGGGCCCACCTCAGACTGGGGGCCTCAGAGGCCTCTCCGGGGAGCTGAGGCCGGCACTGCCTGGGCTCGGTGGGATTCACCCTTCCGAAGGGCGGACTCGAGGGCGATCCCACCTTCGTCCTGAACTTTTAACCATGATCCCCGAGCGCTATCTTGATGTCATCTGCTGTGTGTTTACATACCTCTGCCCTGTTACTCCCGCTCGGTTTTTTGTGTTTTGAGACAGAATCTCACTGTGTTGCCCGGGCTAGCATGCCGTGGCGTCAGCCTAGCTCACAGCAACCTCAAACTCCCGGGCTCAAGCGATCCTCTTGCCTCAGCCTCCCGAGTAGCTGGGACTACAGGCATGCACCACCACGCCCGGCTAATTTTTTCTATATGTTTTTAGTTGTCTGACTAATTTCTTTCTATTTTTAGTAGAGACGGGGTCTCGCTCTTGCTCAGGCTGGTCTTGAACTCCTGACCTCGAGCGATCCTCTTGCCTCGGCCTCCCAGAGCGCTAGGATTACAGGCGTGAGCCACCGCACCCGGCCCGCTACTCCCTCTCTTGGGTGCTTATATTGGTGGGTGGCCTGGTGAGGTGGGAAGACGAGGATTTGGACTGCAGGCTAATGTGGGCTTGAATCCCAGCTCTGCTACTCAATAGACTCAACAGGCGTCTAAGAGACTTGGGTGTATGTCCTAGAATAGCTGGGTGGCTTTAGGTAACCACTTAACCTGCCTGAGCCTCAGTTTCCTCATCCTTTAAGTGGGGCTATTATTTCTAAAGGTCCGTGGGGGAGGGGATGCTGGGATGGGGACGAGGGCTGCACGCTGCTGCCTCTGACCTGGCCCCTCGCGTCTCTGCAGGTGAACATGCTGGTGCTGGGCAAGCACCTGGGCATCCCCAAGCCCTTCGGGCCCATCGTCAGCGGCCGCTGCTGCCTGGAGGAGAAGGTGCGGTCCCTGCTGGAGCCGCTGGGCCTGCGCTGCACCTTCATCGACGACTTCGCTCCGTACCACGTGCTGCACGGGGAGGTGCATTGCGGCACCAACGTGCGCCGGCAGCCCTTCTCCTTCAAGTGGTGGCACATGGTGCCCTGAGCCCATCTCCCCTGGCGTCTTCTCCCCGGGAGCCTCGTGGCGAGAGGTTGCTGGTCCTCTGCAGTATGGCACGGCAAGGGCTCTTGGGGACATTTTCGCTCGCCAGGGTGGCCAACCCTCCCACAGTGGCTTGCATTCCTCTCCTAGGCCCCAGTTCCTGGGGTCCCCCTCTTAGGACCCCAAGAGGGTCCTAGCATTGTAAACTCAGTTCTGCTCTGAGAAGCTACAATAAAGTTTTTTTAATCACTTTGTACGTGAGGTCCAGCTATTGTTGCTAGCATTCACTCGCTCATTGACTCATTCGTCATGGCCGAGTTGACTGTTACGAACTCAAAAGTGCTACCAGGCTGTGTCGAAGGCCAATGTTACTGTGTGTGCCTTTTGCTCCCAGGCATGCATTTGGTCTATAAAATCTTGCATGATCCTACTTGGTCCTGATCTTCCCATGGAACCTTTCCAGGAAGAGGAGGAGACGGAGGCGGGAGGGGAAGGCTGACTGCCCCTGAGGGTGTGGGCACATCCCTCTTTAAAGCCACCTACAGGCTGGGCTATGGCTCACATCTGTAATCCCAGCACTTTGGGAGGCCAAGGCGGGAGGATCACTTGAGGCCAGGAGTTTGAGTCCAGCCTGGACAACATAGGAGACCCCATCTCTACAAAAAAATTCTAAATTTTTTTACAAAACCACGCACATCTGGGCATGGCATATGCTAAGACTGATGGACTTTTGAGATATGAAGTAATTCATCTCCTTGGTGTTCTTTTTGCCTTGCCTATTGTCTTTTATGGTTGTGACATAGGGACTTAGAGTCCTCTGTAGAAAATAAAACTTGGTGGCTTGAGATCTGTAAAATTAAGACTAAAATCTTGGCTCCAAAGAGTCTGAGATGCTAGAGATCCTGTTTGTTTGTTTGTTTGTTTTAACACAGGCCATGGAGAACAGGTGATGGAGGGAAGGATGAGCATCGACAGCCTCCGCCCTCACACCTCCTAATTTCCTTTGTTTTGAGACAAGCTGGCCCCCTTCACCCGTTCACTAACATTTAGGTTGCTTCTACCCCTTGGCTGTTAGAATAGAGCTGCTAGGAACGTGAGCGTGCAAATCTCTCTTTGAGACCTTGCTTCGATTCTTTCGGATATGTACGCAGAAGTGGGATTGGTAGTTCTGCTTCTAATTTTGTGAGGAGCCTTCAGTGTTGTTTTCCGTAGCAGTTGCACCATTTTACAATCCTACCAACAATTCACAAGGGCTCCAATTCCATGACATCCTCAACACTTGTTCTTTTTCCTTTAAATAGTAGCCACTCTGACGGGTGTGAGGTGATATCTCATTGTGGTCATGATTTGCATTTCTCTGGTGGTTAGTGATGTTGAGCATCTCTTCATGTGCTTGTTGGCCATTTGTATGTCATCTTTGGGGAAATGTCTGTTATCCCGGAGGGTTTATTTCTGGGTTCTCTATTCTATCCCATGGGTCTGTCTTTATGCCA